GCTTTCATTCAGGCTCCACATGTTTTCTCTGGGGTCTCTCTTGCTGCTCCAGTGTTCCAAGAGCACTGCTTCACACACACAATCTGCAACTTCAACTACCTTTAATTGTCTACGTGGGCTTCTACACTGCTAGCTCCTTAGGCCCTAACAGAAACTTCTCAGTAAATTCTAGAACTACATCCCCAGTCATTTTTGTTTTTATTTTCAGTCAGGGTCTCTTCTATGTGGCCCAGGTTGGCCTCAAACTTGTGATCTTCCTGGCTCTCTACCTCCAGCTTTATAGCTTTGCCTCTCTAGGCACCCTCAACCCTGCAGCCATGGCTCCTTCTCAGTTCCTCACTCATCCCTCTGGGTCTTTTCCCACACTCACTCATCTTGGGAGAAACCCTTCTACCACAAACTCCTCCCTCAGCAATGCTGCCATAATCCCATCAGAAAAATATCTGTGCTTTTAGCCAAGTCAAGCTCCTCCACTGGGGTGCTTGCTTTTACTCCTTCACTTATGAAAAACAACATTGTTCCAGAAGCGTCTCCCCTTGCTTTTTCACATCATTATTTTATCCCTCTAAGCTCAACATCCTGTAGGCTACCTCTCCCATGTTTAAAAACTTATCTTTCTGGATCCCACTCCCCCTCCAGCTATTGCCTCCTTTCCCTGTTCTTCCACGAAACAAGAGACTGTGAAAGTTGATTACACTTACTATCACCAATTGCTCTCCTTTCATTCTATATTAAATTCAAGCAAGTCATGTCTCTTCCTACCTGAAGCTATTCTTCTCAAGATCCTGAATGATCTCTATATTGCCAAAACTAATAGTCAGCTCTAAGTTCTCATCTTACTTGACTGACTGGAACTTTTAGTTCCATTGATAATTTTCTTTTCCCTTCCTTCCTCTTTCTTTTTTCTAGTATTGGGGGTTGATCCTGGGAGCATTTTACCACTGAGTTTCACTCCCATTCATTTTTGTTTTTATTTTCAGACAAAGTCTCTTCTGTGTGGCTCAGGTTGGCCTCAAACATGTGATTTCCTGGCTTGGCCTCTCAAGTCACTGGGTTATAGGTGTGTGCCACTGCACCCAGCTTCATTTTCTTCTTGAAATATTTCTCTCTCTTGACTTCCTGCCACCACACTGTTCTGGTTTTCCTCTTACCTCACTGGCTACTACTTCTCAGTGCCCTCTGCTTACTGGTTCCTCCTTTCCTTATCATTTCTCTTAACAATGTAGAATACCAGGGACCCAGCCCTTAGATGTCACCTTCATTTATACTCATTCCCTTGGTGGTCACATCCAGCCTTATGGTTTTATATGTATCTGTCTGTTTCTATGTACCTATAGCTGTCTGTTTCCTGTAGCCTGGACCTTTTCCTGAACTCCAGGCTCATATGTCCAAATTTTCTAATCAACATATACACTTAGATACCCAGTATTCATTTCAAAGTGTATAAAAGTGAACTCCTGATTCCCTGTCTCCACCACCACTCAATAGCATATTGAAACACTTTGATGCATTTCCCACGTCAGTTAATTGCAACGCTAGTCATTCAGGCCAAAAGCACTTGTGCCATCGTTGACTATTTTTTCCACTAACTATCCACATCTAATCTATCAGTAAATCTATTTAAAACTGTACCCCACTCCAGTCTTCCCTACACCTCTTACCCTGGTTCTTTACATATATCTAGTCACCTTCTACTACTATGTATTTAAACTATGCCTCTTTTTTCTCCCTTCCTAGCTTACTCCCAGTATAAGCACCTTGGGAGCAGATTTGTTTTTCCCTCTTTCACTCACTGCTCTATTCCAAGTGCCTGGTAAATGTAGGTTCTCAATACTTGTTAAAAGAATGAAAGAATGAAGTGAATGAATGGCATTCACCTTGGCAAGCTCATTCTGATCCCTCGAACATTTTAATGTCCTTTTTTTAAATTACATAAAGACTTCTCATTGTGTCACCATTTTCTGACACAGCATGCCACTTATTAAACACCACACCTTTGCTCAGCCTACTCCCACCTTCTGCTCATCCTTTAAAACTCTGCCTACATATCACTTCAGAAAACATTCCACAAACAACCTTCACACACATATACCCCAAAAACCTAGTCTAAGTGCCCTCTCAAATACTTTTACCAATTTCCTCTAACCAGCTCTTGTCATACTGCTTCTAATGACTTATATGACTTCCCCAGAGTTTATGAGCTTCATGAGAGGAAGGCCTGTGTATTGTTCACAGTTGTCTCCCCAGTGTCTGGCATAGTGCCTGGAACATAGTAAATATTTGAATATGTGAATTGTCGAATCCATGACTCAGTTCAATGACAGTTTCTTATGGTTCTTTTGGGTACCTCCTCATCCTGTACTCTGTATTGTGCAAGGCCTTCATTCCAAGGAGCTGGAAGCAAAGGGTTGGAACTGGCAACAGGGCTACTCAGCCTCCCAGATAATTACCCTTAAAGATCTCAATAAAAACAGGGAAAAGATAGAGGAGATTCTGTCATTTGGTCTTAACATTTGTTATGTTAGTTGTGTGCTTTTGATAAACACAAAAGCACCTTCTCAAGGACACCATGGAATCCATGACAAAATTCATGCCTGACCTATGCTTTAAATGTATCTTAAACAAGGATCTTTGTTCTCTGCTTAAGTACCTTTATCCATAGTCCAGGGGTTGAAAGGAATCACATGAAATGCTGACCCATCTGAAATGGATTTAAGCTCCTGTACCACATGGGGAGTATTTTTATTTCCTCTACTCTCTCCAACACATACCACATTGAAAATAAAGAGACACAAACAAGTGGCTCTTTGCTTACAGGTATAGAGTATATTTGGAGAATGCTATGCCTCACCTGCATGTTAATATAAAGGATGATTGACAATCTTCTTCAGGGGGATGTAGAAAAAAAAAACCTCCTTTTTGTTGGAATGGTTATTTTCCTGGGTAAACTGGTGCCTTCTGCTGAGTTGAGAGTTGCAACTTGGGATAGATTTCCTGGTTGGGTGACCCAAGTCAGTTGACACCAGAATTTGGAGCAGTTTTATGAGTGGCACAGTCCTTAGGGTTGGCTGGACTGAAGGGCATTTTGCTGGAACTGTTGGTGAAGGCACTGAGGACATCAAGGAAAGACAAGCGCTCCTTCTCAGTAGGGGGAGGCAGGGCCATGGGGTTCTCTGTTTTCTTCTCCAACCTAGCTCCTCCCACGTGGTCTTTGGTGTGGGTTGGACCCTTCTTAACCTCTTTTGTCCTGTATCTGGTCACTTTCTCAGCCTTAGATGGGGAAATGGGTTCCTCGTGCCTGTGAGCTTTCACTTCAGGGTTAATCCAGTGCGAATAGAGCTTCATCGTATTTCCCAAGTCAATTTCTGGAGCTCCTGGAAAGGCAGAGCTCTTGTGAATATGGGTTGCCCCTACCCAACCCTCCAACTCTTCGCCCAGGAATGTGTGCCCTGAAAACTCTGGCCCTGCCCAGGTTCATCCTATAAGACATGAAACATTTGTCCCCGCAAAGTTTGGATTTGAAAAATATGGTCCATTAAAATATTGGACTTGCAAAATTTAGCCTAGCAAATTATGGCCCAATAAGTTGGCACACTATAAGTTCTGACCCTTTAAGGCCAGGCATTCTCAGGAATCCTCATTTGGATGAGATCATTCAGCTTAGTCTAATAGCCATGCAGAACATTTTTATCTGGTCTTTTTGTTTCCAAGGAATCTCTGAGAGTGCTCTGGGAACTCAAGGTGAGAGAGATGCTGGTGGAACAGCTGAGGGTGGAGCTGGTGATTCTAGAGATCCAGATAAATCCTTGCCAATCCCTACTCACTCAAAGCAACCATCTTGGCTAAAGTTTAATTCTATCTGAAAACAATCCTGGAGATACATTTGAGAAGTTAGGGACCCCGGGGTCTTCTTAGAAGCTCCCTACTGGCCCTTGAACCTCAGCAGAATGGATGCTTGCTCTGATTGGAGAAAGCCCAAATACCACACCTCCCTCTCTCTGATTCTCAGTTGCTTTGAATTTCACTGGGTCCTCTGTTTTCTCTGCTGAGGTAGGGACTTGTTTTCTCTGCTGAGGTAGGACACTCGCAAAGGCCTCGGCTAAGGACTCCAGAGGTTCTCCAGATATGCACAAAACACCTGGGCTTCTGTCATGTCCACACAGGGCTGTAAGATCTCAGAGGCACAGTGGGCTGAACCCTGGGGATGAACCATGGCTGAACCTGATCTGGGATTAGGTTGCATTTGGCTCTGCTGCACTGTATTTCAAGCGCAATTGCAAGTTCTTCTTTTAAGCAGACACATTTTGGATCTGGGGCATGTGAGATGTCTGGTAAGGTAGGGAATTCCTAGAGAAATGTTTTTGTTTGGTTGTTTAGACTCCTTCAAGGTCTATGTGTAAATATTCTTTGAAATGACCAAAAATTGTTCCTTGCACTCCTTTGTTTTATGGGACTTCCCCACATGTATCCCTAAGAATTTCTGAAATTAAATTTTTTTGTGTGTGTGGCATGATGGGTGCCTTGAGTAATTGGGGACTGTCAGGGATCCATCTGACATTATAAAGCCACCACCTCTATTCACTTGTACTTTGGCCTGGAGTACCTGTACAAGTCTTATTGGTACCTCGAAAGTGTGGCCCAAGACTTCATATGTTGCTGTTCAAACGAGGTTGAGTCAGAGATTCTAATGGGCTCAAGCACCAACTCTGCGATTGTAGATTAACTACTGATTGCTGGGGCCATAGCTCTGGAGAAAGCAGCAAAATAGAGAGCAAACAGCCCTGGCAGGAAGACAAACTTGTTTCCAGTTAGATTCTCAGTGGCTCCCTGAGACAGCGCCCAGGCAGCTCAAGGTCATCAGTATCTGATGAGAACTGGCCAAGGTCTATCAATATTCAGGGAGTCACTTCCTGACCTGTGTAGGGGCCGACAGCTGCTTCCAAGTTCTAGGGACTTATTTTCCAGAGGATGGGGAACCAACTTGCTGCCAGATCCCCTAGAATGTTGAAGATCCAGTGATTTGAGCAAGGATCACTAGACCAAGCATATCTTTCCACATTCGTAATCTATGTGCAACATTTTTTAGCCTAAGCAAGCAACTGTGGGCTGGCACTGCTGCCACAATGGATGACTACAGGTGGCTGCAGGCTGAGGGCATGGCTGTGCTGCTCCAGGGCAGGGGCTGCTAGTCATCAGGGGAAAGGAGAAACTGGATAGATTGATAAATCTTTGGAAGAAGGCTCCAGCGTGGTAAACCAATCATTTTAACCACTTAACCAAATCAACTATTTTAACTGCTTCTGAAAATGGAATTTCAGCAGCCTGTGGGGATGTTCCAGGACAATGCTGCCACCCTCTGGAGGACTAAAACGGGAGGGTCCTAGGTCTGGTGGGACAGGCTGCAACATATCTCAGGGATTATATTGTGTGGTTCTCTGCATCTACAGAGAGCTCTGGACAACAGATGGTAAGTCTTCAATGGTCCTGGAGCTGACTCTATAGCAGGTGCTAAACAAAAACTGGGCTTTTTAATAATCAAGTGGAAAAAGCCAAATTTGGGAATGTGGGGAAGAAGCTGGGACTAACTAAAGTGGAAAAAATTTTAGGCAGCACAGAAACAAAAGAGAAATTATTGACTAGAAAAGGTCTAGGGCTCCCCTGTTGTGGAGAGATCTCTAGAGACGAGGAACTCATTGTGCATCCCCCAGGTAATGGAGAGAGGCCACTTAAAAGCTGAAAGGTGGGAGAGGGTAGGGCCAGAGCGAGGGGAGGGGGTTTGAGATTTGCTCAGGTGACATTTCTGCTCTGTGGTGGACTGGCTAGCCTCCCATGAGTCCAGAGTCGAGGGGATGAAAGCCTATCTTTTCAACAGACACCTTAGAGGTAGTATTCAGAATGAAAGGAAAAAAAAAAAAAGTTACTTGTTTGTTTTCCAGGCCTTGAAAACATTGGGAGAAGTATAAGCTGGGAGAAGTACAGGAACTCCCCCACAGGTCATGGGGCCCTCAATGTGGAAATACATGCATTTATATCCTTATTAAAAAGGTACCTAAGGGCCTTTTGAACATAGGAACAGCATGTGAAGGGAATGCAAGGTTGCGGGGTATTGTCTTATATTCAGGAGCTCCTGGTGAAGGGAAAGAAAGGGAATATAGTATTCAAGGTCTGCTAACCTTTGTTCTTGGGGACAAGTGCAGAGTTGTGCTTCCTTCTCTCCTTCTGGTTCACAGGAATCCTAGGCTCCTCAAGGCTTGAAGAAGACAGAGCCCCTGCATCCTGAGGCTTTTTTGGCCCTTGAGATTTCTGCTTTTGCTGGAGGTGATCAGGGCAGACATTGTGGACACTGGCTGTATCAGTTGACTGAATAGCTGAATGAATTAAAGGTTTCTGACCCAATTGTGACAGACTGGGGCCAGATGCCTGTGAAAACTGTCTGGAGTCCCGGGAATCCTGCTCATAAGACACACCTGATGTGGACAATGTGTCTAGGCAAGCAGAGCTCTGCAGAGACCCCAATAAAGAAGGGGAGATCTGGTTGTTGTCACACTCCAGCAATTGCTGAATGTCCAGAGCTAGAGAATTGCAGATTTGGCAGCCAGGATCTGCACACAGGAGCCGCCGTATACTTTCCACCTGGGGAAGCCAGCCGTGGCTGGGAAGGGAAACATGGCAACTGTTAAGGATGGTGACATCTGCCTCTTTGCAAGAATGGGCTGGGGATTGCTGCATCCACTCCCAGTCCTACAAGTCCTATACTCTCTGGGTGTCTACCCCTCTGCTCTTATTCCTAGGAAATGCCATTTGGCAAGGGATGATGAACTGGGCTAAGGTTCGGAGCAAGCTCTCAGACAACCTATGGAAGGGCATAACTCTCAGAGAAGATGGGAAGCTGGGATCAGTTCTCTGCTGACCTCAGTGAGAAACTGAATTGAATCAGACAGATGGAGTAGCTGAGTAGTTAGTTGATGGGACATCACCAGAAACATCATTAGGTAGGACCAATATTAGTTTCATTTGTGGTAAAAACAAAACAAAACCTGAAGTCCAGGACTCATTACATCCAAACTGTAGAAAATGAGGTCCTCACTTAGAGGAATATGGGATACCCCTGTGTCCATACCCAGCATTTGTTAGGTATCAGTCCCATTTTCTAGAAATCTTGATAGGATAAGATGATATATTCCTGTTTGAGTGGTCCCAGGAACTCTCCTCCCTGAAGACAGACCAGAGGATGTAATGTCAGCAGGGTCCAGGAAGACCCAGGGAATCTTTCCTAGAAAATGTGTAGCTCTAAGAGAATATAACAATGATGCTGTCTTTCAAAACCCATTCTCCTAATGGGATAATTTGTCTTATGGCTGAATGCAACCCCATGTAGTGCCTTTTATGACTTATACACTGATCAAATCCTGAATTGCAAACTACAGTGATCCTAGCAAAGAGTAGAATTGGACGACTCTGTTCCCTTCCCTTCTGAAATGTCTGAAACCCTGTTGGCCCTGACAACTCTAAATAATTAAACCAGCCTCTACCATGTATGTCTCTTCTCAACCATTATTCCTCTCCTCATTCCAGCTCCAACAAAGGCCAAGAGAACATTACAGTCCAGGCTGGGAATTTGGAGACTGCAAAGAGCAAGAGATCACCTTTTCATGACAGAGAGCAACTTCCTCAGCTTCTCGGCTTCTTCCTGGGAAGTTTTCTTAGCTGAGGAACCAAGACACAGTGTTAGATAGAACAGCAGAGAATTCAGGGACATCCTATAAGGAAGCTAAAGGCTTTTGAATGAGAGGAGACTGAAAACCACATCATTCAATGCTCTAAGTCAAATCTGTGTGCAGCTTAACCATCTATAACAACATGCTCTCCCTAATCTTGTCTGATCTTTACAACCACATTGAGTGGACAAGATCACTGGTGCTACACCCACTTTATGGAGAACAAGACTAAGAGATGAAATTATTTCCACAGGGTTATAAAACTAGTAAATGACACGGTTAATGACATCTGTCCTACATTTTCATTCTTAGGAAGGTAAAATAGAATTTTGGAAGGTTCCTACGCTCTGATTTCCCACCCATGCAGGTCTTTTGTTAGCAGTTGCCACTGGAGGTATTAAAGGCTGCAGTGGTTAGAACACATGGCTTCTGGCACCAGGGATCACAAAGGCTCTATGGGGACCTCAGTCACAGTGGAGTGGAAGGGGCTTTACCTTTTGATGTTCTATCTTTAGACTTTTGTTTGACTGCTCCGTGATGCTTAAAGACAAAAACATTAGAATGTGAAGTTGGGTCACCATTTCCTTTTTCATGTCTAAAATGATACAAAACCCATTAGCATTTCTCAATATTTTTCTGTATTCCATTTAATACTCTTCTGTCATTCTTTTACATATACTATCTTTTTTACCCAAACTTTTCCCTTCTATGCTTATTTCTGACTCACTTTGAAGCTCTTCCAAACTCCATACCTTCCACTCCTATTTCATGGACAAATTTTGTGGGGAGTTCAGGATGAGATAGAAGGAAAAGTGAAGAGATTAAAGGATGGTGGTGAAGGTCCTAAATGGCCCCCAACCAGGATAATGACCCAAATTGGGAGCTGTTCTGGGATCCAATGAGAAAACCCCCATTAAAAAAAATCAAGGGGTAAGGATATAAGAGAAAATGAGGGGATAAAATCTTCTTAATGGAGGCTTATCCATTCGTTTATGATCACAGTATTTCCCTACCTGGCAACAGGTCTCATTAGGTTCCGACTTTAATTTTTGGCGCCTCTTTTTCACTTGCCAAATAATTAATGCAATAATGAAGATGGATCCATAGGTATAGAAGGGATATCCCGCATCCCATACAACAAAGGCAGGAATCAACATGACCTAAACCTCACTAGCCATCCCTCTTCCTAGGCTTCCAGGGTCTTGGAACCTAATGCCTCCAGATTCTAGGCATTGTCACCTCTGCCTCACAGATGGATCAAGACCAACATACTACATCACAAAGCCCGCCTGTTTCACAAAGCAGGTACAGCATCACAGACTTTCATCTTACAGAAACTCATTGGTGATTCATTGTTCAAATGAGGATGTCTAGTTATCTATATAGGCTGCAGAGCCTGGGATAAAAGATACCAAGTTCGATAGCAGCATACACTCTTCTAGCTCTCTCTATTCCCTGTATCCTGATGCTCAGCTCTCTATTACTACAATAGGGTGGAAACTATTCACCAGATAACACGTTATGCATACTGTATATACTTTAAAAGAGTGGCTAAGTCAGAGAAATGAACTACATTATTTGTAACTGGGACAATAACTAAAAAATACACACCAAGATAAGTCCAGCATAATAATTGTTATGTCTTGAAATCATATTTTTTGACCTCACGAGCAATAACAGGTATCAATTATCAAGAAGTTCAGAGCCCAGTGTGGTGGTGTATACCAGTAATCCCAGTGGCTCAGGAGGCTGAGGCAGGAGGATCGCAAGTTCAAAGCCAGCTTGAGAAACTTAGTGAGACCCTAAGCAAGTCAGCAAGACCCTGTCCCAAAATTCAAAAATGAAAAAAGGACTGCGGGTGTTGCTCTGTGGTTAAGCACCCCAGGGTTCAATCTCCAATAGGAAAAACAAAAAGTCAGGAAGATCATGTCAGATGTTATCAAAGAAAGCATGAACCTGCTGTCCTTTCAAAATATTTCTGAGAGCTAAAGACCCCTCCAAGGCCTGGTGGTCCAGTATGAGGTGAATCGAAAGAGATCGTAAATATCACCTTCCACAAAGGCACATGAATAAGGCTCATTTTGGGAGCTCTGTCCAAAGCTTTATTTTCCAGAATTGCCTCTACAGATCTTATGGTATCTGGCTTATTCATAGAGATAGGTTATTGGCAAGACTTTTGATTAAGTGGTTCTTTGTGGAATCTGCCACCATTGGAATGTTTGGCTGAGTGTTTTATGAAGATCTGAATTTTCATAAAAATTTAGGCATGGGAAAGATTTCTTCCATTCAATCCAAGTACCCCACCATTCCTATATCCACTGATTCACATATGAATGTTAACTTTATGGCTCCTGGCAACATGATAGTATATCTCCAACACCTCAAGATTTCTGAATTTCCTTGAGAAGTTTTTGCCTTGGTAAATTGGTAGTCTGAGGCTCAAAATCTCTGAAAAGGTCACTTGGTCCTTCCTCTAGCATCCAGTCCTCCACCAAACAGACATGGTAAGTACTTGATTTGTGCTCATCCCTGAGATAGACAAAGGTAGAAAGACATTTAAGTTATGTTGCCTGCCTGTCCTCAAGAAACTTAAAAATCTAGTTTGAAAGGCAAGATTAATTCACATGAAGCAAAAGCCAATCTTACAGGGGGCTAGGGAGGGGAAAAATACTGTTAGTGTTTAATGGTCACAGAGTTTCTATTAGAGATGATGAGTAAGTTCTGGAAGTGAATAATATGGTGATTATACAACTCTTCATGCTGCTGAATCGTACACTTAAAATGATTTAAATGCTAAATTTTGTTCAAGTATGTATTATCCAAATTATGAAACAAACAACTGAAAAACAATCTTAAAATTCATAAAACGAATGACCCAGAAAATCAAAGCCATTCTCAGCAAAAAAAAAAAAGATGAAGATATCACAATATCCAACTTCAAATTATACTACAGAGTCATAATAACAGAAACAGCTTGGTATTGGTATAAAAATAGACACATAAGGGCTTGGATGGTAGCTCAGTTGTAGAGCGCTTGCCTAGCATATGTGAGATACTGGGTTCCATCCTCAGCAACACATAAAAATAAATAAATAAAATAATGGTATTGTCTCTGTCTAAAACTAAAAAAAATAAAAACAAAAATAGACATATAAACCAATGGAATACAATAGAAGACAAACCCCACGTAGTCATAGTCATTCAATTTTTGACAAAGGTACCAAAAACTTACATTGGATAAAACTTACATTGGATAGCATTTTTAACAAACAGTGCTGGAAAAACTGGGTCTCCAGATGTAAAAGATTGAAACTAGATCCATATCTCTCATCCTGCACAACTCAACCCAAAATGGATCAAAGACTTAGGAATAACAATAGAAACTTTGCTACTGCAGAAGAGAACACAGGGGAAACACTCCACCATAGAGGTGCAGGCAGCAACTTCCTCATAGGACTCCTATAGCTCAGGAAATAAAACCAAGAATCAATACATGAGATGGAATCAAACTAAAAAGCTTCTATATATGAAGGAAATAATTAAGAGCATGAAGAGACAGCCTACAGAAGGGGAAAAAATCTTTGCCAGCTACTCTTCCCATGGAGGATTAATATCTAAAATACATAAAGACCTCAAAAATACTCAAGATCAAAAAACAAACCAATAAATGGATAAATGAACTAAACAGGCACTTCTCAAAAGAAATAAAAATGACCAACGAAATTATATGAAAAAAAATGTTCAACATCTCTAGCCATCAGGAAAATGCAATTCAAAACTACACTAAGATTCCTTCTCACTCCAGTCAGAATGGCAATCATCCATAACAATAAATGTTGTGAGAGTAAAGTGTGCCCGGGTTCAATTCCCCAGTACTGAAAAAAATGAAACTAAAAAACTAAAATGAAACTACCATATGATCCAGTGATATCAACTCCTCACAATAACCAAGGTATGAATCAGCCTAAGTGTCTGTCAACAGATAATAAAGAAAATGTAGTATATATACACAATGGATTTTTATTCAACCATAAAGAAGGATAAAATTATGCCATTTGCAGGAAAATGGATTGAACTGGAGAGCATTGTTTTAAGAGAAATAAGCCAGACTCAGAAAGAAGAGTGCCATGTGTTTTCTCTCATATGTGGAAGACAGAGACTTAAAAAGCAGGGGGAGGTAGAGGGACCTCATGAAAATAGAAGGTAGACCATTAGGGTAGAGGATGGGGACAAGGAGAAAGGAGGACAGGTGGGCAAAGGGAAGTACTGGAGGTGAACTTGATCAAATTATGTTACATGTATATACAAGTCTGCCACAATGAAATCCATTATTCTGTATAATTAATATGCACCAATAAAAATGTTTAAAAACCCAAACAACCAAAAAAGTCATAGCATGAGAGGGTTTTTGCTAGCTATATGGAAAAATATTCTGAAAATGATTTGACAAAGAAATGGATGAGTGAATGAATATTTTTCCTAAGCTTCCTTTTCTTTGCTTTCTTTCTTTTTTTCTTTTTCTTTTTTTACTAATACCTCACTCTCCTTCCAGCCACTTCTCCTGGAGCGACAGGTACATCAGAACTTTCACACAGCTTATTGCAGATATTGTCACTCTTATGTCCATGAAAACAAAATAGATCTTTACATTAAAGATGATTTTTTAAAAGTCCTATCTGAAGATGAGATGAATTTGAGCCATTTCAACATTTTTCCTGAACTTGCAAATTTCAAAATATAAGAATGAGAAGACTTGTTCAGCCAAAGAGCACTGAACAACAGGATACCAGAAGTCAAGTAAAAAGCAGCTTGTGTCAGCTTTTCAGTAGCAGGTAAACATACCTGCAAAGCAGCTTGTATCTTTTATAGGTTGGCTATCCCTGCCAAAATCCAGAGAACTCCAAAATCCCCCCACACACACACAAAAATGAGCACCAACAAGATGCCACACATGGAAAATTCTACACCTGATCTCACATAATGTGTCATAGTCAAAACGGAAGCACACTAAAAAAATTGTATAAAATAAAATTTAAGCTTCATGAATAAGGTGTATATGAAACATAAATAAATTTCCTGTTTAGATTTGGGTCCCATCCTCAGGATACTTCATTATGTATATACAAACATTTTTAAAATCTAAAATACTTTCCTTCTCAAGCATTTAAAATAAGGGATAATCAATGTGTATTACTTTTTTTTTTAAATGTGATTTCACTATGGTGCCCACACAGATCTCAAATTCTTGGGCCCAGGAGATCCTTTGGCCCCAACTTCCCAAATAGTGGGATAATAAGCAATGTGCCACCATGCTCTGCTCTATTACTTTTATTAATCCCAGGCAATCAGCTCTTGCTTCTAGCAGCTTCTGTGCCCTCTAGGCTATTTGAACAGTTCTGTTTCTCATTGTTGCAAACTCCTCTCCAGCAGGAATAGGCTAGCCATTGCTTTCAGAGCTGAGGAATTAGAGCCACTGTTCGCAGAGTAGCCTTTAGCATGGATTTTGTCAGTACCTGTCCTACTGGCAGACAGAGGTGCCCATGAGGACAAGAAGGCGGGATCAGAGTCTTCCTAAACAAGGGCACTCTCACATGATGCACAGCTAG